GATGGTAGACCAGAATCTCCTCGAAGCCGTACAGAAGTCTTGCTCCATGGTCTCACCGAACTCTTCCCATGCCCGGGTTTTTGCCTTGGCGACCACCTGAGCTGCGTTCCGATTGGACTGCCAGTACTCGTCAGCTGCCTCTGGAGTCCCACAGGCCAAAAAGACCCGATAGGACTCTTTCTTCAGCTTGACAGCATCCCTAACTGCCGGTGTCCGCCAGCGGGTTCGGGGGTTGCCACCACGACAGGCACCGACGATCCTGCGACTACAGCTCCGGTCGGCCGCCTCAACAATGGAGGTACAGAACAGGGTCCATTCAGACTCAATGTCCCCCACCTCCCCTGGAACATTTTGGAAGTTCTGTCGGAGGTGGGAATTGAAGCTCCTTCTGACAGGAGACTCTGCCAGACGTTCCCAGCAGACCCTCATGATTTGTTTGGGCCTGCCTGGTCTGACCGGCATCCTCCCCCACTATCTGAGCCAACTCACCACCAGGTAGTGGTCAGTTGACAGCTCCGCCCCTCTCTTCACCGGAGTGTCCAAGACATGCGGCCGCAGGTCAGATGAAACAACAACAAAGTCGATAATCGAGCTGCGGCCTAAGGTATCCTGGTCCCAAGAGCACATATGGACACCTTTATGTCTGAACATGGTGTTCATTATGGACAATCCATGACTAGCACAGAAGTCCAGGAACAAAACACCACTCAAATTCAGATCAGGGGGGCCGTTCCTCCCAACCACACCTCTCCAGGTCTCATTGTCATTGCCCATGTGAGCGTTAAAGTCCCCCAACAGAACGAGGGAGTCGCCAAAAAGAGCGCTTTCCAGCACCCCCTCCAAGGTCTCCAAAAAGGGTGGGTAGTCTGAACTGTAGTTTGGTGCATAAGCACAGACCACAGTCAGAACCCATCCCCCCACACGTAGGCGGCGGGAGGCTACCCTCTCATTCACTGGGGTAAACCCCAACGTACAGGCACAAAGATGGGGAGCAACTAGTATGCCCACCCCTGCTTGGCGCCTCTCATTGGGAGCAACTCCAGAGTGGTAGAAAGTCCAACCCTTCTCAAGGAAACTGTTTCCAGAGCCAGAGCCATGGGTTGAGGTGAGTCCGACTATATCTAGTCAGAACCTCTCAACCTCACACACCAACTCAGGCTCCTTCCCCACCAGAGAGGTGACATTCCATGTGCCAAGAGCCAGCTTCTGTAGCCGAGGATCAGACCGCCAAGGTCGCCGCCCTCGACTACCACCCGTCACACACTGCACCCGACCCCTTTGGCCCCTCCCACGAGTGGTGAAACCATGGGAAGTTATGAGTGCATAAAGTAAATAAAAGTTAAACACATACCCTCCTTGACTTCATCTGCAGCAGGCTTTGAACTTTCATCTTTCCTTTGCTTTATGGCCTGAAGCTCCTTTTTTAGCTGCCGGACCTCCTTCCTTAATTCATCACTGTAAGAGAACAAATATAGAGGAACATCCTGTTAACCGTGACAGTTTCCTGCTGTTTCTACAGATTACACAACAATTAAAAGTAAGGGAGGGTGATATATTTAAAACATATTGCAAGTTTTTCCACATCCAATGGTTAAAATGGCTTTGTTGTAGACATAAAGTAAAAATTGTCACAGCAAAATTAAGCTGACTGCTTGAAATTCACTGTGATTTTCTCTCTAATACAGCGAATGCATCAATATTCCCCACTAACAACCTGAAAATGTTCTACCTAGTACACTGGACTGACTCAAGCATGCATGTTGCAGAGAAAGTGAAAAATATGCGACAGCAAGAGTTTTACATGAGTGATGTGACATCAATAAGAGTGACGAGAAGACCGATGAGCTGTTTCCAAAAGAAAGCATAGTGGATTAATGATCTGGCTGGTTTGGATTTCACAGGAAGGATGCCGAACAAAATGCGGTACACTGAAAACGAGTGGCCAGTATACCTCAGAAGCTATCATGAATCTTTCCCTGTTCGCTGATATGAATAAATACGGTGAGGTTCCAGCCATGTTTATTTTCACAACTACATTTATTCAACCCTGAATGACCGACATGAGCATAATCAGTTGTGTAGTGGATGATTTTACGTCATGATATTAGCATATCATGATTTTTGTTCCAAGAAAAAGGGGAAAAAAGTTCTAGTAATAAAAATTTTATTTTACTAAATCCCGTAACTAGTGATGAAATAAGAGATATTGTGGAAAAAAAAATCATCAATTAAAGAACAACTGATTGTAACAATATATAATAGAAAATATTTTTCATCCCCTTACTTATATATGTAACTTATCTTTTACAACTGGGATATTTCCTACCAAAAAGAAAATTGCAAAAGTCATACCACTTCTTAAAAGTGGAGATAAACATAACTTTTACAACTACCGATCGATATCACTTTTGTCGCAATTTTCAAAAATACTGGGAACATTACCAGGTTGGATGCATTCCTGAACAAAGAGAATATTTTAAATGACAGTCAATAAGGGTTTAGAACAAATCACTCAACTTCAATGCCACTAAATGAAATAACAGAATAAATGTAGGAAGAGATTGATAAAAAAAACATCTCATAAGTATCTTCATTGACCTAAAAAAGCGTTCGATACAGTGGATCATGAAATTCTTCTAAATAAACTTCTTCTAAATGGGAGCCGTACCATCTCGGACTTTGTATGCTAGTGTTGGCAATTAGAATTTGATGCGTGCTGCTAGCGGTAGCCAGTGGAGCTCAATGAACAGAGGGGTGACGTGTGCTCTTTTTGGCTGATTGAAGACCAGATGCGCCGCTGTGTTCTGGACCATTTGAAAAAGTCTCACAGTATAGCCTGGAAGAACAGTTCGAAGGGCATTGCAGTAATTGAGGCGGGAGATGACAGTAGATTGCACCAGGAGCTGGGTGGGATGTTGTGTTAGGTATGGTCTGATCTTTCGTATGTTGTACAGACAGACAGTTTTGTGAGAGGATTTCTGTGATCTGCTTGAAAGCCACCCTTTCAATGATTTTGGACAGAAAAGGGAGGAGAGAGATAGGTCGGTAGTTCTCCACATGATTTGGAGGAAGAGATGGGTTTTTTTGAATAGTGGAGGCTTTTGCTAGACAATGGTCGATGTTGTACTTGGCACCAATAAGTCCTAGTACATTTTATGGTAAGATCAACTTGTTTTGTACATCAGCCCTCAACAGACCTTAAGAAACCCAGTTCTGGATCAAAGGGTTAGTAATAAATTAGGTCTGTGAGGAAATGCATGTCGCCATCCACCTTTCATTCCACAGTTTTAAACTCATCCTTTTAAGCTAACAAATTATGGGGTTATAATTGTTTTTGTCAACTTTCAAAATGTTGCAACGTGTCAAGATTTGGACTGAAGATTTACCACTCAGAGTATGATTACCAGCTACTACCACATCAAGTCTGAACTCAGGATCTGTAAAGTTGACAAAGACGTTATCATTTTACTAATATTATTTAATGTTGGCGATTAATAATGAATTGGGTTGACTCTAAAAATGTATTGCTTTCTTTTATAATCTGTCCAGCCATCTAATATAATGTAATGTAATGTAATAATATAATCAGGCCCAGGCAAGGCTGTCAGATGACCTGCAGAGATGTGTGACATTCCATATTTTGAGCTATAGCCTGTAGCTGAGGATCAGACTGTCAAGGTCCCAAACTTCACCCCTCCCATGAGCGTTGATCCACATCTCCTCTTTGAGTTGTGCCTGACCAAGCTCTATGGGTAAAAGCCTGGCCACCACGCAGTCGCCAACATGCCCCACCTCCAGGCCTGGTTCCAAAGGAACGCCAATGACCCACATCCTGGCGAGGGAACATGGCTTCCATTTATATAAATCATCATAACGTTTTTTGGGGCATCACTTTGTCTGATCCCTCATCTAAGAGCATTTTTTAATGCGTGATTTTACCAGGGGCATAGAGTAACCGCTGCTAGGATCATTTGGACCATAATTAGGTGGAAGCCTGAGGAGGTGCAACAAAACAAGCTCCTTTGTCTTTTTAGTGTAAAGATGCCGGTTATTGACTCTGCAACTCCATTGAATCAAGTTTTAGAGTAACTAAGATTTGATATTTTGTTCTTAGATTTACAACTAGCTTGAACAATCACTCATACGCAGTGATCCTGTCCAGCAATGAGTGCCATTTAATTTACTACTACAGACAATAATTCCCCCAAAAGGAAATGGATAGAAGGTTTCCAGCAAATCCTGCTAGAATTTACATCTTTCTTCCAACTACGATGGAGAGCCACTATCTGCACACTCATTTCTTACCCGTCTGTTGTCATTTGATGCTGATAAACAGACTGAAACTGGCAGGCGAGTGACAGTCTGAATCCTTTCTCTGACTTCCCACTAGTCCTGGCAGCATAAGTCGACTTTGGGATTGCCAGCTACTGTCACTCATTAAGAAAAAAAAGCAAAACCAGAAAGCTGCGGATGATTAACTTTTCATAAAGAAAGCTTATAGGGTGACTGGTAGTAGACTGCACTCCCTCTTAAGAATCAGAACCTTGGAGTGTTTGGTAGAAGGCTAAAGCCGACAGGAATGTGACAACCTTAAACTCAGTTCCGACGACTGTGTGACAAATCAAAACAGGGACTCTGCATTCCTTTTCATGATGTTAACAAACAAAAACAAAAACAAGTACGCAGTCAGGCCATCTTTAATAATGTGAGTTACTAAAAGGATGTGTAGAAATCTTGACTATAGTAAACAAAATCACGTTTTTTTGACTCAGCAAATGATGCAGAAAGTCATGGGATAACAAAATGGCTGAATGAACCACACCGCCCGCATCCCTCCTCCAGGGGATCTCTATGGTTTGGTCAGAGGCCAAGATGAACTGGAGAAGCAAGAAAGCCAATCTCAACATTTGCAAAGATCTAGACAAACAAATTAAACAGGAATTGGACCAAACTCCTTTAAGAAGCTTTATTAGACTCGTAATTACTCACTAGATATTTTAACACGTGCATAATTAGTCGTTCCACTTTTCAAATAATGAACAAAGATGATTTTGCAATGAACTTCTATTTCTGTTCTTTTTAAATATAGTTTTTCATTTTTGAAGGTGCTAATATTAAAATTTGTACATGTACAAGAAAGAAATGACCTGTCCTAAAAGTCCTGAGTGTGCACCATAATCGACATGAGACTTTGTTGTAATTCTGATGATTATGGCTTACAGCTTATGAAAACGCCAAATTCTAAATCTCAGACAGTTAGAATATTTGGAAAAGGTTCAATAAACTAGACTGAAAGTGTCACACTCTAATCAGCTGATTTATCCAAAGCGCCTGCAAGAGGTTCCCTGGCCTTTTAGATGGTCTCTCAGCCTAAGATGAATAATCGAAGTGATAATGGCCTGAATTTGATATATTGTCTTCTAGAGTCCTAGAACCCCCCAAGGCACTTTACAACACAGTCAGTTATTAACCCATGCAGAAACATTCACACCCTGGTGGTGATGCGCTATAATGTAGCGAAAGCTGCCCTGTGGCAAATTAAACGAGGTTGCCGTACACAGGCGCCACCAGTCCTTCTGACCACCAGGCAGGCAGTATGGATTAAATGTCTTGCCCAAGGACACAATGACAGCAACAAACTGAGTGGGACTCGAACTTGCAACCTTCCGATGATGGGGTGGACAATTGACTCCTCTGCCATCATTCGCCCCTAAATAAATGGACTTTTGTATGATATTCTAAAATTTTAAGCTTCACAGGGATTTAGAAAGCTTTATTCTTAGTCTTGAAGGTGTTTTGTCAACATTTTTTGAGAAGTTTTAATTGTTGTCATTTTGGTAATTTTAGTTTATATGATCATTTTAGTTCTTGATTTTATGACATAATTAATATATGTTTAAAAGGTTTATAACTACGCACCAACCCTCGTCGTTAGCTGAAGGTAACACACCCTAGGTCATTATTTATTCGTGCATAAAGTTGGCCAACTTTGTCTATTGCATTTGCAGCCTCTTCTGTTAGCTGCATTACAGCATTACTGGCAAAATGGCCAAGTATTTGTTGTAAGATATGAAACTCTTTACAAAAACAACTTTCTAAAAAATGAATAAGAGAATTAATTTATTATTTCCCCACAGCATCCTTGTTGTGTGTGATGGACTGAAAGTGTGTCCAAAGGCCAAATTCCCCATTTGAGGCAGACATGCAACAGCAAGCCAGAGATGTGTAAATCTGGCGTTTCCAAAATATACACAACCCCCCTGCCAAGAACTAGATTATCTCAAGGAGCTTTCTTCACAATCACAGTGCAGAATGCTTTCTTGACCTCAGCCACCTTTCCCTGTGAACGCGTTGGGTTATGACCAATGACAAGAGACAGGTGCAGCCAATTAATACACAGTGACACGCTGTCTGGGTTATAGACCTCCTGGTCAGGATAATTAGTGACTTATGTC